CATTAAATACCAGAAACTCCCTGGGCTGCATTTACAATAACGTGCCAATATCTGTCACCTACGTTGGACAGTGTGTCCCCAGCCTGAACCAACAGAAAAATGCCAACACCACAGTGAAACATGGAGGGCATGAAGAAGGAGAAAAAGGACAAGACACACCCAATTTCCTCCATCTTCTCCCCTTTGAACCCCTCATCTAGAATCCTAAAATTTTACTTTTTCACCCATGCCACACTTAATTATTATTTATATCAAACACTGAGAGCTTGTAATTCATCCTGAGAGATGAATTCTTTTCCATGGACAGAGATCACAGCCAGTGTCTCTGGGGGCTCTGTCCAGGGGGGTTCCTGACCCCTGCCAGGGTCCCAGACCTGCCAGGGCAGCCAGAGGGAAGCTCTGCATTCCCACAGCCCCAAAGCATTTTTTTGGGGGAGAATTGGGCTGGTGCAGGCTTGGAAATAAGTGGGAGAGGGCAGCCAGTGCCTCCCTTGTGCCTCTGACTCTGGTCTTTCCCAGGTTTGCCAAACTCCTCCTGCGCCTGCCGGCGCTGCGGTCCATCGGGCTGAAGTGCCTGGAGCACCTCTTCTTCTTCAAGCTGATTGGAGACACCCCCATCGACACCTTTCTCATGGAGATGCTGGAGACACCCCTGCAGGTCACTTGAGGGTCTGTCTGGCCAGAGCCTGGCCCCCTGTGTCCCTGCACAGCCTCCTGCCCCTCTGCTCTGAGCCCCTGAGAGCTCCAGAGATGTCCTTCGCCCTCCGCTCCTCCTCGGTGGGATTGTCGTGGTTTTGTACAGCTGTAAATCACCCCCTCAAGCCCTTTCTGCGGGGTCACAGATCCTCTACCCAGCTAAAATCCCTCCCCCTGCCCCCCCTGTACAGATAATTGCTTTAAATTATTTTTTCATTCTCAATAAAAGTCAACAAAAGAAATAAAATGATATGAGTGAGGCACTGATTGGAGCTGGCAGAGCAGTGTTCTCTTTTTCTGCGGTCACAGCTTGGGATGGGGCTGAGAGTCCCTCCTGACACTCTTGGGCAGCCCAAATCAGGGCAGAAATGTCACTTGGGATATCTCTGCTTGTGCTGATGGTCACAGTCCTCTGGCTGAGAGAAGACTGGTATTGCTTCTTCTTGTTTCTGCTAAGGATAGACCAAGAGGAACTTGCTGCTGTGAATCAAAACATTTCATTCCACTATCTTAAAAAGAAAGTCTTGGACTCTTTGAATTCTTTGAAGCTCTAAAGTAATATTTAAAGTAAGTTTTTAATGTGGGAGAGGCTGGTTGTCTGGTTGTTGGTTGGTTAGTTTGGTTTTTTGTTTTTCTTTTCTGAGCTGCTGACAAAAACCTGAAATCCAGGTGGAGTATTTGGAAGTGATGCAGATGTGCTCGTGGATAACTTTCCACTTTCCTGAAGCTTCACACATCCAGTTCTTTTTTCTTTTCCCCTCCATATTTTTGCTCTGGAAACAGCTTCACGAAGCCCAAATTTATAATCTCACACTTCCACAAGTGAAACTTGCAGGGAAGGCAAGAACAAGACCCTCTAACAAACCATCCTCAAAGGCTTGCCTGGTCTTTCCCCTGCTCCAGCAGCACCGCTGGAGCTCCCCACTGCAACCAGAGTCAAACGAGTTAAAGACATTAATTTGTTCAATATGCAGCACTTATCCTGGTGGGAAAATGTCCTCCCAGGAACCCAGCGAAACTGTCTGTATTATTATTCATAAAACAGGTGTAGTGTTAAGTGATCTGCCCCTCCTGACCCTCTCAGCAGACAGTGGGGTGAGATGCAGCTTTGTCTGTCCGTGTGACAGATTGCGACGCTGCCGGCTCGGGGAAGTTGGAGGGAGAGGAGGACTGACAGCAGAAAAGGAAAAAGGATAAAAATGAAACGTTTTGTTGAAGCTCCCACATGGGGACATGATTCATTTTCCAGTTTTTTTGCTGAGAGAAGGGAAAGGAGAATTTTAAAAAGCTGAGAAAAAAGAGGGAAAACCCCAACATTACAAAAACGCTTTAATTTCTTCTTGTCCTCCTGAGAAAAACCCTGGGAGAATTTCAAAACCTGTGAAAAGAACTGACCAAGAAGCTACTTTTAATTGAATAGGTAATTATTTTTGGTTAAAAGAGAGGTGTTTAAATAGAGAAAACACTCAACCTGCTCATTGTAAAACTGCTGCTGGAGAGTCCAACAATAGCACTTCTGGATTGAGAATAAAATTACATCTCAAACTACAACTGGAGAGGCTGCACGCAGACTGTGCTGGGATGGTGCCACACCAATGCTGCTGGTTAGATGAAGCAAGAGGCCACCTCCAGCCTGGGCTGCTCAGGCTTCCCCTCTAAGAGATGTAAACTTCTAAGAACTGGTCCCCAGCTGCCTGGGTTGGATTTCTTTCCTGATTGATGCTGATCTCAACCTACTGTTTGTAAACAAACCCAGACCACTGCCTGTGATATTTTGGAAGTGGTAAGATAAGGTAACCAAGACAGGGCAGGAAGTCTTGAGGTGGCTGCTGGCCACGTTCACTCTTAGCAGTCCGGAAGGGCAGTCTCTGGGTTCTGGGCCACAAGGTCTCCAGGCTGCAGTTTGAGCAGGGCTTTGTCCTGTTTCTCCAGATGACTACTGGGTTTTTGAAAAAAAAAAAAATTAATAAATTAACACACAGCACACCACAGAGTCCCCCACCCTGTGTCTGGCAGGGCAGAGAGACCATGACTCTCCACGTGGCCTCTGTGAGTAAGACACCACTTGCTCATCTGAAAGTGCCACTAGCAAAAACCAATGTTGTCTGCAGAGGAAACAAGTCATGGAGCAACCCAGCTCTATCTGCAGTCACTGGGGACCTGAGGGTTGATGCAATCTCCTGGATTTGGTCCCAGCCCTTGGATTCCTCATTCATACTGTAGACCTCTCTACACGGATGTTGTCCAAGAGCTGTGCTGCCCCAAGCCTTGCAAAGCGTAGGAGTGAGTCTTTGGGCACCCTGAGGAACAAATCCCTTAGCAGCTGGCAAAAAGTCACCAGTGTGGATATCCTTCTGTGAGTTGCTGCAGAAGAACAGCAGCTTGGCACAGATGGAGCTTCACCAGTCTTCAGCTCTGGAAAAACCTAATTTTCATAAAACAGTAGAAATCACAATCATTGATAAGCCAAAGAAAGCTTCATCCAGTCATTGGTTACCCCATGAAGCTCCTCAGATCAAGCTCAGACAATTTTCCCTTTGCTCTGGGATGAATAAGCAAGCCAGACTCTGGGAATGACTGCTGCAAGGCCATTTTCTCTTTGCCACCATGCCTCACATCTTCACGAGCTTCCCGAGTTAGCAGCAGGTCGTCACCACCATGGACAAGCTTTGTCCTGGTGTACAGGCCAAAAGTGTCAAAGCATTTATTAATTCTGGGCTGCTCCCTCTGCAATGCTCTGTGGAGGGGGCTTCAAAAAATAGTGGAGTTTTGGGTCCTGTAGCAGCTGCTTCAGTTTCTGCTGAGTCCAACAACAGCACTGTTGGAATCTGAGGTATTGATGATCCTGAGATTGTAGAAAGTCTCTGTCTGTCAGCCCCCTGCCAAAGCAGAAGCCAGAATTGGTCTGTGCTGGTTCCATGTTGTTTATTCTGTTTATCTCTAACATGTTCTGCTGCCCTGCCCAGCTCTGTCCTGCAGGGCAGCGTGTGGGGCTCTGCCCTCAGTGGGATGTTACAAACATTAAATACCACAAACTCCCTGGGCTGGATTTACAATAACGTGCCAAGATCTGTCACCTACGTTGGACAGTGTGTCCCCAGCCTGAACCAACAGAAAAATGCCAACACCACAGTGAAACATGGAGGGCATGAAGAAGGAGAAAAAGGACAAGGCACACCCAATTTCCTCCATCTTGTCCCCTTTGGACCCCTCATCTAGAATCCTAAGATTTTACTTTTGCACCCGTGCCACACTTAATTATTACTCATATCACACACTCAGAGGTTATAATTCATCCTGTAAGATTGAAAACTCTTTTCCATGGACAGAGATCACAGCCAGTGCCTCTGGGGGCTCTGTCCAGGGGGGTTCCTGACCCCTGCCAGGGTCCCAGGCCTGCCAGGGCAGCCAGAGGGAAGCTCTGGATTCCCACAGCAGTGGAAAGCCGTGCATCCTCTTTCAGAGGGGATGGCAAGGTACATTGTGGTGCAAAGCATGATAGAGAAGCCCTGATAAATCCCCAGGAGTTTATCAGCCTGAGTGGACAAAGACCAACCTCTATCTAAGCAAGGCCAGGGGCTGCCACTCCATTTCTCTCTCCTCTCTTCCTGCGCCCTCTGTGCAATCCACTCTACCTGAGACAGGCTTGGTCTGTTGGATTTCAGTGGTGAAATGAGAGGATTTCATCAGCCCAGGGCTGTGTGACAGCACGGTGGCTGTGGGCTGGTCTCTGGCTTGCCTCCGTGCCAGGCTGGCCAGCCCAGCTGGCTGTGCAGCTGCTGATGCCCCTGAAGGGCTCTGGGGGTGGCAGAAGGACAGGGAGGCACGGTCCTTGCAGGGGTGAGTGGTGTCGAGGGACCTCTCTGGTGCTGGACAAGGCTTCTTCTTCTGGATCAAGTTGGCTTCGGGCATTCGAGGCACCTGGATGGTGCTGGCCCAGTGACTCCTGTCCCAAGGGAGGTGGCCTGTAGCCATCTTCTCCTTGGTCTCCTGCCCGCCTGCTTCTGGGGCCAGCCCTGCCCGCTCCTGCGTGTTCCTGCATCTGCTTGGCTGGGCAGAGTTAAGGTGATGCTGGAGGAGGGATCTGGAGCCAGGGCAGCTGCTGTGGCTGTGGCTACCTGGGAGCTGAGTGCTGCTGATCCCCTTCCAGCAGCGAGCAGTGGGGACCTGCACAGAACGTGACAGCTGGGCAGCCCCAGCGGGGAGACGGCTGGGGAAGATGTGCAGCCCCTCTGCCAATGTTGTGGCCTTGTTCCTTCGCTTGGCAGCTTCTGTTTAATGCAGTTCTCCAGCACCACCCGCTTTTTTGCAACACCTGGCTGCCTGTAGACTCCTCAGCTAGAAGGAAAAAGGCAAGACTTGCTTTTCCTCTGGTTTAATTCTCTTTGGCTGCTGGTGCTGCCCCTAATTCCGCTCTGGGTGAGCTAATAATGGAAACTGGTCCTCAGAAGCTGTAGTGAGCAGCCTGAAATACTCCCCCCATGTTTTGTAGGGCCACTGCCCATGTTGAAGTTGCACTTTAGGGGGGTTGGAGTGTATTTCTTGCATAGTTGACTGGTTCGCCTGGTGATCACCCTTTGCACGAGGCCAGGTGTGCTCTGACCTGTGTGGGAGCTGGTGGATGTGTAAGTCACGAGCAGCAACACCCTGCTGCAGCCTCCCTGGTGATGCACACTTGCCTCAGCCCCCAAACCTGATCTTCATAGACCAAGCTGGGAATTGTACACGAGAGCTGCAAGGTGAGACAGTCTCCAGCCCCTCCTTGTATGGAGAAGAGAAGGAGGAGGAGGAGGAGGAAAACAGTGAGGTGGCAACATCCAGGAAAGAATGACTTCTCTCCCAGCTGTTCCTGCAGCTCTGAGCAGAGAAAATCAGGTGGGCGGTCTGAGTTTGCCAGCAAAGTGCTCTGCACAGGGACACAGATTTTAGCAGCGCTCGTGGATGGTATCCCCACCCCATGGGGCTGGCATTCCCTGGCTCTGTAAGGAAAATCTGCCCTGCACAGCTCTGTAGGATGCACAGGGAGGCAGGAAGAGCTGCAGGCAGTGCTTGGAACCCCTGGTCATGCTGCAGTCCTTGCTGGGCTGGTGTCTTGGCAAGGTGGCTCCAGTGGATCTGGCTACTCTGACACTTGGCTGTAGCTGCTCAGAGACCTTCAGGAGAGCCAAAGACAAAGGTGTCAGAGCCCAGTGCCTCCCTGCTGCAGCCCAGCCTTCCTGGATGTGAGTGGTCAGAGCTGTTTGACACTGACCCGTGTGACAGCACCAAGGCT